TGCAGAGAATGTGGAGGCCCCGACAGAACAAAAGGTTTCTGTAAGATTGTCACAGGCACGGAATCCCAAGTTAGCCTTGTCTTCCCAGAAGAGCCACCCCTGTGAGAGTTGTGGGCTAGTCTTGGGAAACATTTTCCACGTGATGGAGGGTCAGGAAACACAACACAGACAGATACTGTTGAGGTGTGGGGCGTGTGCAAAATGGTTTTATTTCCGTGCAAAATTTCACCAGGAACATGTGAGAGAGAAGACTTTCACTAGAGGTGTGGACAGGATGTCACTTGCAAACAGCTGCAATTTCAGTGTGTGCCAGAATCGTTTCACATGCGGGGAGGTTGGGCTTAGTGTACTTACTGGGTCAGGACATCTCCACCTAAAGGCTACTCAGACCAGGGACAGTCCAGATCCCATTTTGACGTGCGGGGTGACATTTCAAAGGAGAAATAATTATTACAGTAGAAAAGATGATAAGAGAGACATTAGTTACACCCCCTCATTTATTCATGGAGAAGGTGTTCATCTTGGAAGTCGATGTTTTATGTCCTCTGAATGTGGAAAATATTTTACTAAATTTTCTAGCTTTCATTATCAACAGAGAGGTCATACTGGAGAATGGCCTTATCACTCCAATGAATGTGGGAAATCTTTTACCCAGAGCTCTGCCCTTTGTAATGATCAGACACTTCGTACAGGAGAAAAGCCTTATCAATGCAGTGAATGTGAGAAATCTTTTACCGCTAAGAACATCCTTCTGCAACATCAGAGATTTCATACTGCAGAAAAGCCTTATAAATGTAGTGAATGTGGGAAGTCTTTTACTGCTAAGCGCATCCTTCATCATCATCAGAGAGTTCACACTGGAGAAAAGCCTTTTCAATGCAGTGAATGTGGAAAATCTTTTATCACTACGGCTGACGTTCATCAACATCAGCGTATTCACAGTGGAGAAAGCCCTTATAAATGCAGTGAATGTGGAAAATCTTTTACCACTAGTATTGACCTTCATTGTCATCAGCGTATTCACAGTGGAGAAAAGCCTTATCAATGCAGTGAATGTGGAAAATCTTTTACCACTAGTAGTTCCCTTCATTGTCATCAGCGTATTCACACTGGAGAAAAGCCTTATAAATGCAGTGAATGTGGAAAATCTTTTACCACTAGTAGTTCCCTTCATTGTCATCAGCGTATTCACACTGGAGAAAAGCCTTATAAATGCAGTGAATGTGGAAAATCTTTTACCACTAGTAGTTCCCTTCATTGTCATCAGCGTATTCACACTGGAGAAAAGCCTTATAAATGCAGTGAATGTGGAAAATCTTTTCCCCGGAGCGATACCCTTCGTTTTCATTGGAGAATTCATACAGGAGAAAAGCCTTATAAATGCAGTGAATGTGGAAAATCTTTTATCGCTAAAACCATCCTTGATCAACATCAGAGAGTTCATACAGGAGAAAAGCCTTATAAATGCAGTGAATGTGGAAAATCTTATAAAGGTAGCAGTGGTCTCCAATATCATAAGAGAAGTCACATGGGAAAAGCCTTATAAATGCAGTGAATGTGGGAAATCTTTTCCCTCTAAGACCAACCGTTGTCAACATCAGAGTTCATATGGGAGAAAAACTTAATAAATGCAGTGAATGTGGGTAATCTAACTGCTAAGAACATCCTTCATCAATATAAGAGAGTTCATAGAGGAAAAAAGCCTTATAAATGCAATGAATGTGGGAAATGTTATAAAGGTAAAAGTGGTCTCCAATAGCTTTATCTTTTAAAAAATCTATCTTTATTGTTTTTTGTTTTTTTTGCATCTTATCCATTTTATTTATTTATTTATTTTTTAAATCTTTATTGTTCAGATTACATTTGTTCCTCTTTTTTTTTTCCCCCATAACTCCCCTCCTCCCAGTTCCCGCCCCACCCTCCGCCCTCACTCCCCACCCACTGTCCTCATCCATAGGTGCACGATTTTTGTCCAGTTTCTTCCCGCATCTCCCATTCCCCTTTCCCCCCCAAGAATAGTCAGTCCATTCCCTTTCTATGTCCCTGATTCATTATAATCACCAGTTCATTCTGTACATCAGATTATTTATTCACTTGATTCTTAGATTCACTTGTTGATAGATGCATGTTTGTTGTTCACAATTTGTATCTTTACCTTTTTCTTCTTCCTCTTCTTAAAGGATACCTTTCAGCATTTCGTATAATACTGGTTTAGTGGTGATGAACTCCTTTAGCTTTTCCTTATCTGTGAAGCTCTTTATCTGACCTTCAATTCTGAATGATAGCTTTGCTGGATAAAGTATTCTTGGTTGTAGGTTCTTGGTATTCAGCACTTTGAATATTTCTTGCCATTCCCTTCTGGCCTGCCAAGTTTCTGTTGAGAAATCAGCTGACAGTCGTATGGGTATTCCCTTGTAGGTAACTGAGTTTCTTTCTCTTGCTGCTTTTAAGATTCTCTCTTTGTCTTTTGCTCTTGGCATTTTAATTATGATGTGTCTTGGTGTGGTCCTCTTTGGATTCCTTTTGTTTGGGGTTCTCTGCTCTTCTTGGACCTGTAAGTCCATTTCTTTCACCAGGTGGGGGAAGTTTTCTGCCATTATTTCTTCAAATAGGTTTTCAATATCTTGCTGTCTCTCATCTTCTGGCACCCCTATTATTCTGATGTTTGTACGCTTGAAGCTGTCCCAGAGGCTCCTTACACTATCTTCGTATTTTCGGATTCTTTTTTCATTTTGCTTTTCCGGTTGGGTGTTTTTTGCTTCTTCGCATTTCAAATCTTTGACTTGATTCTTGCGCTCCTCTGGTCTGCTGTTGGGAGTCTGTATAATATTCTTTATTTCAGTCAGTGTATGCTTAATTTCTAGTTGGTCCTTTTTCATAACCTTGAGGGCCATATCTGTCTCTGCGTAATTGCTTCATGACTTCTTTTAATCTGTCCCTGTTCTTCACAGCTTTCCTAGTTTCCCTGGATTTACATTCCATTTTCATAGAGAACTTTATTTTTCTAAGTATTTTTCTGCTTTAGTTTATGTTTCATAAATACTTGGAGATTTATTAAAGTTACACTAATAACTCATCTTTTTTCCTTTTAGATATTCTTATCATTGATATATCACCATCAGTTTGCCCATTTTAATAAATATTTGGTTATTTCTAATAAAGCTGGTACACACATTTCTGTATAATTCCTTGTATGTATATAAGTGTTATTTACCTTAGTCAAAATTTCAGTGCATAGTCTGTGGTTTTTGAGTAGATGAATGTTTAAATTTACCGACATTAGCAAATTGTGATCTAAATGCAATATACCACCGGGGCCAGTGTGGGTCAGTGCTTGGCCATCATCTCGTGCAGGACAGGGTTGTAGATTTGATTACCGGTAGGGATATGTGCCAAGTTGTGGGCTAGATGATCAGAAGTGGGTGTGCAGGAGGTCACTGGCCAATATGGCATTCTTCCATCAATGTTTCTCTCTCTTGCTTCTCTCTCTAAAAATTAATAAACTATTCTTTAAAAATAAAAAATAAACCTATCCGTAGCCGATTTGGAACAGTGGATTGAGCGTCAGTCTGTGAACTAAAGGGTCCCTGATTGGATTCTGCCCAAGGACACATGTCTGGGTTTGGGGCTCAATCCCAAGTAGTGTGCGTGCAGGAGGTGCAATCAGTGATTCTCTCTCCCTCTCCCTTTCGACATCAATAAGAAAATATGTTTTTTGCTTTTTTGAGATGCAAGCACACAGGGGGTTTATTTACCAGTTCCTGATGGGTCTCAGACGCTGGGAAGGATCCACCCGGAAATGCTCGCTGACACACACACAGGGGTAGAGGGCGCCGTTGGCTGCTGGCTCCTTTCCTGCTGGGAACCAAGACTTGAGCACACACAGGTCCTCATGCTCTGGCAACAGGAGATCTCTAAGCTCAGAAAATATGTTTAAAAACAAAAACCATCAGTGTCTATGAGCATGTCTGAGAATGGATGGAGTGACTCAACCAATAGCCGAGCTCTATGGTATGCTAATAAGTAATAAAGATTGTTTTTAAAAAATA